GAGAGAGAGAGAGAGAGAGAGAAAGAGAGACTGGTTTATACCGCCATAGCTCCGGTTTTATAGATTTAGAAAACCTGCATTCAGGTGCAGGTTACAGCCGTGGCGACGTGCACTCGCATCAAACTGCGAACGGCTTGCGGAAACTAGTGAATTACGCTGACCGTGCGTTTATCGGGTTTCAGCGGATGCTAGTCTGGCAATGCTTGGCAATCAGCTGACACTGGACGACGTTGAGGAGAAGATCGCGCCCATCATGGTACGCACCCTCTGTCAAACACTCCCAATAATTACTGCAGAGAAAATCGACGGGGGACGTTTTTTTACAGCTCAATAAGTAAAAGCATAGATATAGAATAGAAAATATATTTATTCTATATCTATGGTAAGAGGCTAGAGGGGCCGTCGCGGTCAGGTGAAAGTGGGCACGGGCATTAGTGCTGCGTACACCATTTTACAATAATTTCACGTCGCGTAAAGTGCCACTAATTTTTAACAAAGTGCCTTTAATCGGCACGTTTCCCTCTCACCCTACTTGTGTCCTCCCGTCTGTAGGCTGAGTGTAGCAGTAACCTAAGTAACCGGTAATCATGGTCAGGTGGGAGCAGATGAATTACTGGGATTCTCTGTAACTGTAGATAAAAGTCAATTTAATGCAGGAGTATGTAGGCCACACGTAACCACATAACTGTAAGCACAGTAGTCCCAGAAGAGGTGTACACCATAGGCGTGCTAGGTTTCAATAGACTGTCATTAGACTCTAGAGGTGAACCCGATAATATAAAATGTGGTGTGATAATAACACACTGATTATTGTACACGTGGGTCATGTGAATTAGCGAGGCCTCCTGACAGAGATTTCGGTTATTATTGCTTACATTATAAGCCACTGTCTCACTCGATCATTAATGCTATCTATGCCGAGTAGAGGAGCTTGTAATTGTGGTAACTACGTGATATTCGTGTGAAAATGCCTAGGGGAATGCTCTTGTTGCAGCATGTTGTTGCATCACCATTTATTCCCAAATATCATCAGGAGCGTATAATGACAAATATTTTTTCCGTGACAAATGACAAAATTTTGTCATTATAGTATTTATACGCTCCTGATATCATCCATAGTCACTCGAATCCAAAATTAGTTCCATCGTTAGCACGACCGGATTTAATGAGTGGAGACCTAACAATTCGAATTCATAATTGAACAAAATGAATCACCATATGCCGAGCTGAAACCGTTTACCCCGTTCGTTTCTGTTAATGAAGGAGATTAGTAATCGGAAATCATCGCCAATTGAAACACACGCTAGGCACGCATCTAAATTCCGCCCTCCTTCCCTCTGTTCTTTCAAGCTCCCAGATCCCAGAATATGAAGCCGTATTTGGTGTTCACTTGCAGGAGGCTGCAGAAACGAGGAAGAAGGAGCTGCAGCAGCTACTCGTAGAGCACGCGTCTCTCGTTGCAAAGATCAACACGTCCGAGGGTTCCGTCAGGCAGAAGATGGCGCCCAAGCGACAGCACACGATCGCATAACCGTGCGCGGCTCCCTGCAATGCAACACGGCAAACACGCGAACTTGCTCTCTCTTTCCCTACAGGCACAGGAGACGTGCACGTTCGGCTGGGGAGGGGTGACACGCAGCAGGTGCTAATGCATCGATTACCGGCAAATCGACGTCACAGGCACGTTATTGTACATCAATCATCTATCGATTAGTCCTAGAGATCAAGCAGGTCAACGCGCGCAGTTTGGCGGTGTAGGACGTCCCAAAGATTACCATTTGCGCATTGATATTTTGATAGCAGTAATCGTCTCCACGAACCAGTGTTGCAGTTCACTCGCAGCAATATTTACACACAATCACTCTGGAAGCAATACACTGTTACAAAGACACACATGGTTATAGCAGTAGACCATGGACATGCCATATGACTGCAGTATGAGAAACGGGTAGCTTAACAGCCTGGAGGGGTCTTCGACCAAAGGGCCAACGTGCACCTCCGAAAATAATACATGTACAGTAGAAATTTGATGATCAGTCAGACGATCGGCATATTTTAACAAGGTGCGAGCACCCACACTGCTCTCTAGAGCACTCTAATTAACGGGGCCAGAGTTTCAAAAACATGGCTTCAGTGACCAGTAGCCACTTGCCTATTTGTACCGATTATATGAGCAACATGCGTGATTGAGAGATTTGGCCCCTGAAGTTTCTCACATTTGCAGGTGATTGAGATGGAGATGACGATGAAGGTTTATGAAAGTTAACGCTACTGGCTTACTTGTCAATGGAAACTGTGGTATTGAGTACTAAGTGATCAATTGTTTTATTCGAACGAATATTTTTGTATTGTTATCGCACTCGTTGAAAATCAATATGAAACGGATGTCATGTAAAATAAAATGCGTTTTCTTTCTGTAGATGCGTGGTTGAAACAAGGTTGGGCACGTGTGACCCACCGTAGATGCACATAAAGGTGTTACGAGTGATAAACTGTGCCCCAGCATTAAAAAAATTCCACCGTAGATGCAAGAATATTTTCATAGACTACTGTCGTGTCAATAATGACTTTTTGACCCATATATCAGGTTACAATACATGTAAACGTATGGTAGGCCTATTTCTAAACGTTTTATTTTAGGCGAGGTGCTTGTATATAAGTAGGCGAAATGCAGACGTGTTAAAATAACGTAACAAGATGTTATTTGCGAGTATCCGAGGCCGTGAACCCTGCAACGTGACAGGTGAATTTGTTGTGCACGGATACCATAACTGTAAAGAGAGTATTCAGACCAATAATTCGTGAACCTGACTATTCTTATGGTCATGTAAAGCTAATTCGTCAAGAATTAACCTTGTGGACGCAGCCACAGGAATATTTGAAATCAGTACAACAATGGCCACGAGCAAAATTGTGTCGTGCAACTTTGTAATTGTACGGCATAAAAGTGTGCAAGTCTTTCGTCTATTTTGACGAAACTCAGCAATGAATACTCTTACCAATTTGGCATACTGTAAGCAGTGTAGATGCTTGCATTGGCACTAATCCACACTGGCAAGCAATTTACCATAAACGAACGTACACATATATTGGATTTTACTATTATACCCGATTACATAAAGGTTTCCTAAGACAGTGAAAATCCTTCAATTGTTTGGTTATTCTTGCCACATTCTTCTCAACTTTTTAACAGCCCAATTGGTGGCTGCACTGGTACTAATTGAAGAGTCCATCCCCTGAGCAGGAATGCCATTGCTCTGTAAAGTATATATATATATATATATATATAATAACAGCTATCTAGATTTGTAGAAATGTATAATATATTTTCTTATGCATAACCAACATACTATAAGTGCGTTTAGCAGACCAATATTAAATTTTTTTTTTTTTAAATGTTGATCCACTTCTGAGTGATATTATCAAGAGCGTATAAAGAAGGAGAGCGTACAATGGTGAAATGCTGAAACCATGTTGCAGTATTAGTCAAATTAAGAAACTTTGCCCGTTTTATTTTGACGATTCTTTGCGGTATTATTGATCAGCTGTCCTACCTTGCTAATATAAAACAAACCGCTTGTCCCTACGATGCCCCTACGCTGAGATAATGAGCGGTGAAAATCTGGTATTTTTGCCGAAAACCGACTCGAGATACCTGCTGACTGCGACTGTCTCTCGCTTTGTGGCCAGTGTGTTGCTTCCGGTCGCCGCTGTGTAGCGCCATGGTAGCTCTGACTCATTACGTCAGTACTACAGAGTTTACTACATCCGGCGTGAGGTAGGCACAGGTGGGAGTCATCACTCCCTGCAACAACATAACAGACGTCATTTCATACCATTGTCAATCATATGTGGAAAACACGCGGTTTCCCCGAAGTAATCTCCAAAGCTGAGAGCTAGTCGAGTCAGCGAGCTATCTCGGAGTCGGTTTTCGCGAAAATACCAGCTTTTCATGGCTCCATATGTCCAAGCGTGCGGCATCGTAGTGACATGCGGTTTGATTTTATATTAACAAAGGTAGGACAGCTGATCAAAGAATTGTCAAATAAACAGGGAAAGTTTTCATTAATTGCCGACTAATACTGGCACAGGTTTCAGCATGTTCACCATTGTACGCCTCCTCTAATATGCCTACTGCTATATAAGGTTTAAGCAGAACAAGTACATAAATAAGCATATGTGAAACATCATAGGCTAAACATTATACTTATAAGCAAGGCTTTATAGTGAGTTTAATATATTCCTTCGTGTACAAATGAATGTTTAAACCATAAATCGTAAAAGCATATATTCATCGTGATAGAGAGTCATAAGCCGACAAGGATGACTTCATCAGCTGTAGTAATCATGCTTGAAATTGTTCAGGCCTGTTAATCCTAATCGCACGCGACTATATACAACCGTCCGAATGCCAAGCCTAGCAGTCCATACTTAACTTATTTTGGTGTGAGTGGCCCAATCAACTTATGATTGCTCTAACGAATTTGAAAAAAGAAATAAATGCTGCTTTTACAATTTTGGCACAGATATAATTAATTATGAGTCATCCCGAACCACAATAACAAATAATTAAATTTGGTGTTCCTTTATAAGCAGTTTCCTCGGATTATTTCCAAACTAACGTTGCGCAGTGTATTCCAAGCAATTGCAATAAGACATAAATAGTGAGTGTTTCGTTTCAGCATCAAATGAATTTCAGCCAAAACTTCATCTAGTTCATAGAACCTCACGATAGAAAACAATGAGGTACTCGTAGTCCACACGTAACCATCGAGTTCCTGTCAACATAAAGAATAGAACTTCTAATAATTTGACACGTAACTCGAATAAACCTTAATTAAAAATGGTCTGTAAAACGTTGGGAAAACCTGTATATATTGCGACAAGGAACCATTAAAATCAATATATACGTGGCAGGTGCCGTGCAATATGACCATTATATTATGCTGTCCATACTATATACTGCAGATAGAGCGTTGCTCTATGTTATACGTAACTGATATCAAAACCGAATAAAATAGTTTGCTCATATGAACGCTATTATCGTTCATTCCTGGGCAGAAAAATGACGAGCACACAGCACCATGCATCGACGAACATCGGCACAATGTACTAGCATATGTAACAACATGGTGGCATTCTACATACATGTGGCACCTATGTTGTTCACGCTCGTAACCTTAGTACATATTACCATTTCATTAAATAGTCCAAAACAATTAAGCAACAATGTCTGTAACCTATGTTTTCTCAACATTCCTTAAGTACTAGAATTACGCAACCATCTTAAACGTGATTTTTTAATTATACTAGACATTTTTAATTGATCAAGATGTATACTCAATATAAACAGGAGGTATGTACATTGTTTAGAACAAAAAGGAACACATAACCTGATACTGGAAACAGATAATTTGTTTACGTGATAATAAAAACTTCTTATTGATCAGATCATTATCCAACACTCAGACATACAAAATGGCACAGAACATCAGTGTGTATATAAATACAAATTCATAAAACAATGTTAAAATTTTGGCACATACACTACAAAAGAAGTGCGTGACTAATAATGTAACCGCAGGCTATGTTACATGTAACTATCTTATTAAAACAGATCTTCAAATTTCAACGCATCGAACCTCGATTTTCAAAATTCGTTGGTTACATGATGAACATTGAAAAAACTTTTTTAGAAATAGTAGCATCCACCCACACTTACCTCAGCCTCCTTTATCAGAATAACAAAATTTACTCCACACAACAAAATATCAGTCAGCCTCGCTGAAATATGGACATCTGGTAATCCCAGATGGAATGGTGGGATTATTTACCATCAATGGCTTCCATCATTCTTGCTCTACTCTGCACAGTAACCGCATCGTCGCATCATCTTTGCCAACCAAAGAATAGCCCATATATCATTCCCACTATGGATATACCAGATAAGGACAACAATTAAAAAGTATATGAAAAAAAGAATGTCCCGTTTATCAAGTCAAGAGATGCATGGAGAACCAACGCTTAAGAAGAACAGTGCCACTGGATTAGCTGGATTGCCAACCTAAAATCAAATTATGAATCAAACTCAATATATATATATATATATGTAAGTATGCGGACCTTCATTTATAGGATGCAAAATGGTCTTTGGAGACATTTTATAAGAAACGTCCCCAATAAGCTGCAAAATATAGTAAATTGTATTTTTACAAACTGCATGCCTGCTGTAGTCTCCTGCAGTTAGGACACTCTTCTAGATTTTGGAGAAAAATGCATAAAATGCCTTAGCCTTATAACAAATTTTTAAATAAATAGCGTAACATGTGTTTTGCAGGTGTTGCATGAATTAGTAACGAGGCTGGGCTGGGGGTTGTTTTGGTGGTGGTCGGTGTAGACGGAGCGTCACGCATACTGTGCGGCTGCATTGATGTTACAGGGAATCGGATAAGCGTGTTTTTTGGTTAGGCAGTTTCTAGGATCATTGTGAAATGGGGGTAGGACGCGGTCTGGGAGAACCGGTACATGTGCGAGCAGGATGTAAGAGTTTTGGGGGGAATATATAGGACAGAGATGTAGGAGTCTAGAGGGTCTGATTGTGGTCGCGGAAGGTGAGCACACGCGCATGCGCGTTGCGTTGTCTTTGTGAAAGTGGGACTACACTGTGCAAGTTATGAAAGTTTATTCCGGTTACACACAAGTTGCCGCTTGTTATTGTTGACCTTGGCTTTATATTTGGCCCCCCGACCCCTTGGCGACACACAAGTTTTGGCTTTATATCATCATTCCTCGTCACATTTTGGTGCTCGTGACAGACGTACTACTGGGCCCGGCCCCCCCACTCAGTGTTATTTAGGGTATGCATATGCTCGTTCCCTCCCTTTGAAAGCACTCCCCTATCTCAGGACTGCCAAAATTTCTGAACCCCCCTTTCGCGGGCCTTTTGCGGGTTTTTCCTGCCTTGGAGAACCCTCTAAATCCGGAACACTATGTATAGACTGGTACCCGTTCGCCACCTTCACTCCGGTACGTATCCTTCGCTACACTGACGTAGTGACTAGGGGTGTAACGATATACCGGTATATCGGTATATTGCAATATATTTTGAAAACTCGATATATCGCGATACAACTTCCGGATATCGATATTTTACGATACGGTGGTATAACAAGAAATAAATTACTTGACACTTGCCATTATGTCTATATTGTTAATGGGCTCGAAAATTATGCACTGGCGGTGTATATATTACGAAAGCACAATGCCTGCACGACGCATACAGTATTACTGGTAAGCAACCACTGCATGGAGCACTGCGCGGTACTACTGCGCGGTCAGAGTGGGGCCAACGTGTGCGCGAGGCAGAGAG